AAACTGTGATACATCCAGACAATGGAATATCATTCAGCAAGAAGGAGAAATGAGCTACCAAGCCATGAAAAGACATGGAAGAACCTTAAGCACAAATTGCTAAGTGAAAAAAGGCCAACCTGAAAAGTCTACAAACTGTTTTATTCCGACTGTGTAACATTCTAGAAAAGGTAAAATTATGGAGACAGTAAAAAGATAAGTGGTTACCAGAAGTTGAGGGGAGGGTGGGATGAACAGAGAGAGCACAGAGAATTTTTAGGACTGTGAAACTATTCTGTATGATGCTATAAAGGCAAATATATATCATCAGACATTTGTCAAAACCCAAAGAATGGACAACACAAAGAGTGAGTCCTAATGTAAACTACACACTTTAGTTAATAATGTGATATTGATATTGATTCATCAACTGTAACAAACGTACCACACTAACACAAGATGTTAGAAATAAGAGAAACTGGAAGGTACAGGTATAAGGAAGGGAGCTCTCTACATTTTTCACTCAATTTTTCTGTAGACCTGAAAGTACACTTATATTAATTATTTTAAATTCAGGAGAGGGAGGCTTAAGTCATAGTCAGTGAGTTGAAAACTACAGATTGGATGTAATTAATTCAATCCTACTAAGAACATTATAAAATGACAGGACAGGATTGTTTTATACCAATGTTACATTAAAACTAAAAAAAATCTTGTTTGTATTTAACTTGCTGTTGTTTATATCTGTATGAATAATATGTACTCCAAATGTCAATTATCGCCAATTATAAATGTTTAGGTAATGCCTACTTTTTCCTTCATTCACAAGGTGATAAAGCAAAGGAAAGGATTGGAAAAAAACTTTTGCAATCTAACCCATATCCAACTGTTCCATCAGGAGCTTGAGTAATATAATTACTCCTAAACAAAGCAGGATGGCACTGTACATGCTTTGGGAGTTCATGCCATTCAACAAGGGCTTATCTATTGCAAAAAGTCTATATTAAACCCTAAAGGTTTACAGGGTGACAGGCTGTAAAGGACACAACTCAATGTTGATATTTTTACTTTTATTTTAATGGACAAAGAGAGTGAACCATTTATCTTAGTGAATCAGACCAGAAACAGGTTTCTGGTCTTTTTGTTCAATGCTCTGTTACTCACTTAAAAGACAATCATTGATAATCACTCAGTGCTACCCCAAAAACAAATTCTGCTGCTTTACAAAGCCAAGAGATACTCAGCCACCCTCAATGGCCCCTCTAACCTACAAGGGTTCTTTAAAGCCTGTGACAAAGAACTACAAAACTTCAGAGCACAATATAAAATATTAGCTAGTCTCCACTATCCAGGGTTGAGTGCCTGAAAAACAACTGGGAACTGTTCTCATTTAATCAAGCACCTGCTGCTCGATGTTTCTCCTTTCTAGGATCTAGATCTATGAAGGAATTGCATCTTCATTGCCAACATCTTTGCTGCAGACACTGAAGAATAATGTTCAAGAGAATGCCCTGCAGACCACTGCAAAGTTCAAAACTTATTGCACAACCTCCTAGATGTGTGACCTTAGACAAGTTACGCCGACTATAAAATGCAGAAAGAGTATTCATCACCAGGAAGGGTGGTAAGGACTAATGAGACAGTGTATGTACTTACCATAGGGCCTGGTGCTTGGTAGGTATGCAATAAATAAAAGATGCTGGTTTTCTTAGAAGACTGTCTACTTTTGTTAAAATTTGCCTTGGGGACGTGATACAGGACACAAATCTCAAAATGACTGACCACTGAAAATGCAATTAAAAAGGAATGTCATCTCCAAAAAGTGTCATGAGAAGTATAGGCTCAAATGAAGAAATAAATTCACTTCACTTTGTTTAAAAAAAAAAGAAAGAAAAAAGTGGCACCCCGCAGGATACTGACCTCAGAGTATGGCTTTATTCAGAATCACACACTCTTGACTGAATCCCTTGACTGAAAGGTCAAAGGGATTCTTAGTCTTGTTTCATTATTTCCTCTGCACTCACCAAAGTACCATGAACTGGAAGGAATCCATTCATATCCCATGGGTTGGAAACACCAAGACACACTAGGTTTCTTCAGGACCTAAGACACCATTACATCTTCAGGATCTCACCTCCCCTCTGATTTGAAGGAGAACAGCTTACTGATTCAAAGTTTCCCCACCTGAAATTCTAATCAACAATGTACCCAAAGTTGGACACCACCACATAGGGGAAAGCATTTAAAATTGCCCTTCTAATGTCCAATATAGGCAAATATACAGAGACAGAAAATACATTAGTAGCTGACTAGGGCTGGGGGAATTGGGAAGAAATGGGGAAGGACTGCTAATAAGAACAGGGTTTCTTTTGGGGGTGCCGAAATTGTTCTAAGATTGATTGTGTTGATGGTTATACGACTCCATGAATGTACTAAAAACCATTGAACAGGATGCTTTAAATGAGTGAGCTGCATGGCAATATGAATTATATCTCAATAAAGTTGATATTTTAAAAACCACACTTCTCCCCCTCACCTTAGACTGTCAGAATAAATGTACTCTATCTCAGAAAGCAGATGTCAAACTTAAATGGGTATAAGCCCAGCAATAAGTCCAGAAGTCAGTGTCAAGATGGAAAGAAACACAGTTCCTAAAAACCCCCACCATCCCTCAAAACCAACAGTCTAACTCACTTCTATTTCTATGAAACCACATTTGGTTAGCTATTGAGTCCATGAAACAGCCAGATGTGAAGCCCAATGCACTCTGCAAACTTTTCCCTTGATGCAGACAGGCAGACAGACCAGCCACTGAGAGGGGAAAATTAGTCTAGCAGAAAAGGTTGAAAATTTAAGCTACCAGAATGTTATAAAGAACAGAAGAACCAGGCACAGTGGTTCCCAGTTACTCAAAAGGCTTGAGGTGGAGGGATCATGCTTGGCCAGGAGTTCGAGATCAGCCTGGACAACACAGCAAAACCCCATTCTAAATTTTTTTTTTAATTAGCCAGGCATGGCGGTACATGCCTGTAGTCTTAGCTACTAGAGAGGCTGAAGCAGAAGGATTGCTTGAGCCCAGGGATATGTGGTTATAGTAAACTGTACTCCATACAAGATAACAGAGCAAGATTCCATCTCTTAATTAAAAAGAAGAAGAGGAGATGTTGAGAGGCTTACTTATTTTGTTCCTTTTTAACTTGTGGAACTTTTTTTGGCATAACCCCGACTTGATACAAATTCTGTTACCAAGCTTCTGCTCACCAGTGGCTAATATAGAGCTGTGTAAGATACCAACAACTGCATAAAGGAAGCATGGGTATAACTCTCTGCACTCAAGCCAAAACATTATTCCTCTGCTCTTGGTGGCTTTAGCTCTCAGAATCATGAAGTCTTGACAATCCTAAGTGCTGGAAGATGGTAACAGCAACCACCATGATTGAGCAGTATGATGTGCCCAGACCCAAGCTGAATGTGGTCTTAGATGCATTGCTCCACTCAGTCCTCACAACACCTCCAGGAGGTGGAGTGGTCATTCCCGTTTTACAAAGAAGGAGTTCAGGCTTCGCAACAGGCCCAGATCCAAACAATAAGTAGGTGATGGGGCCAAGGTTCTACCCTAGGAAATCCTAAAACCCTTAATTCTACAAGTCTGAACTTCATCTCCAGTTTCTATCCATAGTAAGAAAGGAAGAAAAAAAGACTTCAACATACAGAACCATTTCAACTGAGACACTGATTAATCAGGTCAGAGGAAAGGGTCTTGGGGGAATGAGCCCCCACGGAAAAGACCAGAACAAATCCACACCAGAAACAACTGACTGGGAGTTGCCAAGGCTCTACTTCACATCAAATAAGAACCTTCTCCAAAAGCAGGTTTTTTAAAAGCATATGTCCCAGATTATTTTATAGCTTACCCTCTGTCTAGACCAAAGGTGTGGATATCAGGGAAAGACCTTCATTTTTATGGAGGCCAGAGCTTTTATCAGATTCTCAAGGGGATTCAAAAGACGAATGTACAAAAACGGCTGTGCAAGAACCACAGTGTTGTTTCAGGATTAAGTGCACTGGCTTTGGAATTTGACAACTTGCGTTTAAATATACCTAATTGCTGTGTCACCTTGGGCAGGTTACTGACCACTCCAATCCTCAATTTTCTCATTCATAAAGTGGAAGTAACAATAACTATGATCTAGCTGAACTTTGGCAATCCCTGGAAGCCAGTTTTATTGCTCATGATTAACACCTGAAGGAAACCAAAACCCAAAGAACTGCAAATACCAGTTGTAAAATAAATATGGTTATAAAATAAAACCAAAAAATTATAGAGCTGTAAGAGAATGTAGATCATCTAAACCAATGTTACTTATATAATCACATATTTATATATGTATTTATTATTTTATTTTATTTTTTTAGTTGGAATCTCACTCTGTTGCCCAGACTGAGTGCAGTGGCTGCTCCTGGCCACCGCAGCCTCGACCTGCTGGGCTCTGGCGATCCTTCTGCCTCAGCCTTCCAAGTAGCTGGAATTACAGGCGCTCACTACCACACCCAGCTAGTTTTTTGTTTTTTTGTTTTTTGATTTATTGTAGAAATGAAGTCTCGCCAAGTTGCCCAGGCAGGTCCATATATTTATTTTTAAGTTGTACTATAAAAACACCAGCTTACTATGTACAGTTGTGATAAAGATGATCTGAGGCAAAATAACACAAATACTAATATATTAGTATACTACATAGCAAGCACTTCATGATAATAGAATGCCTGAAGTCTAGGAAACTCTTTTATTTTAAGAGGTCACATGACCTGTCCAAGTAACAGTAGTAGAACACAGTAGTAGTAGAGCTGGATGTAGAAAGACCAGAACACTTAGTTTCCCATCAGTCTTTCCCCCAAGTTACAGGGCTGCTCCATTCCATTAGATAACCCTTTGACTTCATCACTGCAATGTTTCTTCCTCTCCAGGAATTCTTGCCCTCCAAAAAATACTAGTAGAAAAATTGACAGTCACCCAAATGCACCCTCCTGAGATTCAAGGCCAAGATACATAATGCAAGTTCAAATTCCAGCAGGCATGAGCCAAGGTGTCTCATTCTGGGCAAGTGGGGTGGGGTAGAATTAAGAGTTCTGCATGGGCAAGAATTCCAGCTCTGGATCAAGTCAGGTGGATTCAAAAGCTCTAGCCCTGCTGCTAGAGTTGAGTGACCCTGTTTTCTCATTTGTAAAATGAATTAAAGCACATGAGACAATTCATGAGTGAAGCAGTGCCTGGCATGGAGTACACCACTGTAGTCATAGGGGCAGCAAAATATTCACTACTACAGCCTCCAGTGCCCAGTGCCTTTCCTAACACATCAGGGACACCAAACGTCTGCTGAGTGAGGCCGAGAACCAATTAAAGTCAGCCTGACAACCAATAAAAATTCCTCGGCCCAACCTATGTTGGTCCCTCACTTACTCCAAACCAGGGGTCCCATGTTCCCTGAACCAAAGATGGCTTTGGTCATACAGAGTCTGTTCATATACGTCAGGAAAGACACAGCATCCTGCAGAGAGCCTGCTCTGAGGAGCCTCATCACACACCTGTGTTCACTTCACACACCCCCACCCCCACCCCAAAGATGGCTACTTTGAGCTGCCTGGCATTACACTCTCTCTTCATTTTAAAAAGCAACAGGCTCACAAAACGATGTCACAGGCACTCGATTTCTGTAAGTGTCCTTTAAAGAGGCCTGGGATCAATTCTCAAAGGTAGGACTCTATTCTGCTAAAAGATAGCACCTATTAAGAAACTCATCATAGAAACAGGAAAAGTGTGTAAGGCAGAGGCAATTCCACTATCTGCCTTCATGTTGTTACTGATTCTCAAATCTAAGAGATGGAATGAGCTATTTTTAAATGGGCAGACTGAAAAGGCACCAAAAACATTCTCACAGTCCAAGACGTTCATCCCGAGCACTCTTATTTGGCCGGCCAGAAGGAGAAATTCTGGCTCTGCAAAAGACAAGCCGAATGCAAATTTCATTCCTTCCTTGTACCAAAAAGAGAAACAGCAAAAATGGTTTTACAAGAAGTCCAAGTCTCTTTAACATGAATTTAAGCTTCTTTCTGAGGGCTAAGGATATTCCTTCTCAAAACTTTGCGTTTTCAAGGATGACAGGAGAGGTAAGAAGGAGAGCGAGGGAGCAGGAGAGAGCCAGGATATGTTCATTCTATTTTTAAACCCTCGCCCACAGTTTGGAGTAAAGGAGCACTCGGATTCTGTACTCCCACCCCTATCGCCTTCTGCTGAACGCAAGAACCAGCACCTGCACACGTACGCGGCACCGCTTCTGGATGTGGGGACTGCCGGCTGCCAACGCTCCGAGGACGGGCGAGCTCGCCAGCCCCTCCTCCGCAGACCTGGCAGCCCTGCCTGTCGGGAGCCGCGCGCAGGGAGCGGGGCGTCACAGCCCGCCTGTCCCCGCGATCCGCCCGTCCCCACCCGGCAGGGCCCGCTCCCTGCCCGCGCCGGGCACCCAGGGGTGAGCGACTCTCCCCTCACGGGAGCCAGAGGCGTGGGGGCGAAGGGCTTCCCGGCAGGAGCGGCGCGCTGGCCACCCCCGTCCCCTCCCGGGACACCTGCGTCCGCGCGCCCGCGCCCGCGCCCGGCCAC